ACAGGGCACAGCTATATTGTGTAGTAAGGTTTGTTGTTGTACATGGCAAGGTACAGTGAGTGGATGAGTCCAGAAGTAGCACAGCTCAAGTAAATCAACAAATCATTCTGTTTCAGAGTATTTCTTGAAGTGTGTCTATTTCAGTTAAAACATGAGTTTACGCACAGGAAACTTCAAAGAGCATGGCAGAAATAGGGTCAGTGGTTTGGAGGTCACTGAGGAATGTTCATCAAGATGGATTCTGCTATTGAGGGTTTTATTGGGGCTTGCAATCCTTTTGCGGCATGTTGTTCTTGCAATGGATGTTGGTGATTGATTCTTGTCCTTGTGATACTTATCTTGATTGTGAGGGCAGATGACCTCCCCCCCCCCCCCCCGGGGGGTAGTTTGCAGAAGTTCCAGGTTTGCATAGGTTTGATAGGTGTGGTCATCATGAGGGCAAGGAATGGCATCTGGAGGAGGAGATTCTGCACTGGATGTGTTGACAGGAGATTCATAGGTGTGATCCATGGTTGGTGGTGGAACAGGTGCAGCAGTGCTGGGTTGTGCATAACAGTGTTCAGTAGGGGTGATATGGCTTGGTTTCCCGGCAGATGGGAGTTTGTGGTCTGAGGATGAGAGAGGTGGGAAGGAACAATGGCGGTATGGAGTCAGCTCCCAGGCATTTGCGCGTTTGACAGAAGGGCCAGCTTGGACACAGTATTCCCCATTGCCCAATCTCCAGAGAACTTGATAAGGACCAAGTTTCTAGGCTCAGAAATGACTGGTAGCGGCATGTTTGGCACTGTTGGGGAGTTGAGGGATGACAGTGACAAGTTGCCCTGGTAACAAATGAGGAAATCCACGTTTGTTGGCATGATGAGAAAAGGCTTGCCTGGCTTTTTGGGTGATAGCTGCTGGCGTGGGAATGAGAGGTGGCCAGATGTTGAAGGTGTAATCAGCATGAAGTATCTCAGATTGCTCATGGAAGACTTTGGCAGGAACAGAACCTGTGGTGGTGTGGGGGGTGACATTGTATGCTTGAATGGATTGTTGGAGATGGCCGTCCCAAGTGAGAGGTGAGGTGACAGTTTTTGCTTGTATTTGACCAAGAGTTTTGATGAATTGTTTGCAACAGCCATTGGCCTCAGCATGTGCAGGTTGGGCAGTGTGGTGATGAAGGCTATGATGTGCAGTGAAGTCTGCAAATGCTTTGGATTGGAAGACTGGGTTCCAGTTGTTGAGGACTCTTTTGAATGGGCCATAGGTGCGGATTATATCAGCAAGGAAGGTGAGTGCAATGTGGGAGTTGGCAGTTTTGATGGCACATCCAATGGCAAATTTGGAGTGGTGGTCAATGGCAATGATGGCATATTTGTATCCTTGTGGGGTGGTAGGAAGTGGTCTGTAGAAGTCAATGGCAATCAGGTCCAGGGTTTTTTTTTAGCAATGATGGGTTGGAAGTAGGTGCCAACACAAGTGGTGGGGGAGTTGAAAGTAAAGCAGATTCTGCCTTGAGGTAATTGCTTCCAAATGGTTTGTTGCATGTTTTTCCAGGAGAAACACTGGCGGAGTGCCATGAGGAATTTTTTCCATCCTTGGTGTCCAAACTCTCCATGGTATGCAGTGATGATCTGGGCTTGGAGTGCAGGGTTGTTGATGGGGCAGAGTTTGGTAGTGGAGGATGTGATACAGCTAAGGTCATCAGGTCCAACAAGGTTGGTTTCAGGGCAGTGGATAAAGGTGTAAGCAAAGGGTTCCAATTTGAGGAGTAGGTGCAGGAGGCGTGTTGAATGAGAAGAGGTAGGTTTGATGTCACCCAGGGGTGGTTTGTGGTCAGTCAAGATGCAGAAAGGACAATGTTCCAATTAATGAAGAAATTTGGTTGTGGTACTCCATACAGCAGCAAGCAGCTCAGGTTCAGTGTTGGTGTATTGTCATTCAGCATCAGGGAGGACATGGCTGGCGTACTCCAGTACATGGGGAATATTGCAGATTTGCAGTGGTCAATTTGGACTAGAATTGCTCCAAGAGATACTGCTGACGCATTGCAATGGACTTCTGTCTGGAAGCTGGGGTTGAAGCATTCAAGGCGGGTGGCATTAACAATGTTTTTTTTTTCATTTGCAGGAAGGCATCATCAGCTTTTGGTGTCCATTGCAGGAGGGTTTTGGGTTTTGCAGGGATGATGCAACGGAGAACGTGTTCCAGTGATGCAAAGTTTGATGGTACATGAGAATGGATGTATGTGGCCAGTCCAAGAAATCTCTGCATTTGCCTCATGTGGGAAGGACAGGGAAAATGGCAGACAGCATCTAGGATACACTCAGCAGGGCGTTGTCCAGTTTGGTCAATGATGTGACCTAGGAATTAAATGGAGTGGGCCAGGAAACGTGATTTTTGGATGCCAATGGTGGCACCAGCATGGGAGAGCTCTTGGAAGACCATATCAAGGTTGGTGCAGATGTCTTCAAAGGTGGGACCAAAAATGATGTCATCAACATAGGCTAAACAGCGGATGTACAGGTGGGGTTGTAGGATGACTTCAATGGTGCATTGGGATATTGCAGGACCATTGCGTATGCCATAAGGCAGTACAGTATACTGCATTTGCCCCATGGGGGTGGAGAAAGGAGTCTTATGACTGTCATGTTGTGCCATTGGGACTTGGTGGAAGGCAGAGTGTAAGTCAATGCAACAGATGAAGGCATTTACCCTGCCCAGGCATGGAGTATGTATCTGGAATGAGGAGTTGGTTGAGGCAACCAAAATCTTCAACGAGTTGCCAGCGTTTGTTGGATGGAGCATCAGGGTCATCACACTTCTTGGGTGTGAGGAAGGCAGGTGCATTATATGGAGACAATGCAGGTTCAATGACCCCAGCTGCCAGGTATTCCTGGAGGATGTCACGGAATGGGGCAAGTTTGTCTGGAGCCAGGCAGTATGGACAATTGACAAGCTCGCGGGGAAGAGGTGGTTGTGGAGATCTCAGCAATGTGATCAGGTAGGAGTCCATGTTTTGCCGGACCATTGGAAAATGGCATTTTTGTGGGCTTAGAGGATGTTGGTGATGCATTCTTGTTGAGCAGGTGAGCCATTGATGAAGGTGATGCCATGTCCCACAGGAATTCGGGCCTTGGTGAGCGGACGTTTCAGGTTGTTGAATCCAGTGAAGATGCGTTGGCCATCAGCAAGAGTGATTGCCAATGGGAGGTAGTGGAGGAGGTCACGGCCACAGATGACATCATACATGGAGTGATCCAGGACTCAAAATGACACATTGTAGGTGGTTGAGTGGAAGGTGAAGGTTGTGGAAACCAAGGCAGATGTTGGGAGGGTGGTATTGGAAGCAGCTGTGGTGATGCTTTTGTGGCAGGGCTGGAGCGTTAGTTTGAGTTGTAGCGCAAGTCCACAGAGCATGAAGGAATGGTATGCTCTGGTGCCAAGGAGCGCTTGGATTGCAGTGGTGCCCAATTGGAGCAGTAGCAGCAGGGGTTGTGGTGCGGCTGGCGCAGTAAGTTAGGAGCAGTGAGCCGCATTCACTGCCCCAACTGCATGTTGGAGACACTTGTAGCAAGTGGGTTGTGTAGGTGATGATGGTTTTGTTGTGTTGTTGGTAGGGTTGGGACGGCAACCAGCAGTGCGGTGGTGGACGAAGCATTTGTGGAAGTCACACCAGCTGAGGACAGGGGAGGTATCACCAGTGGTTGTTCCATTGGGGGAGCGGTATCCCTGAGAAGAAGTCAGCAGGCCAGCATTTCTGGTGTGGACGGTGCGGAGCGTTCCAGCTGCTTGGAGCAAGTCAAGCAAGGTGATGAAGGTATTGGTGGTGATGCATGTCCGGAGATGAGTGGCAAGTTCTGTTTCACAGACAAGCAGAAGCTGGGCAAGGAGCGCATGTAATACAGCCGTGGCAGTAGGGGCAAGTTGCAGGTTGTGGTCCGGTAATTGGAGGTAGCGGAAGTATTCTTCTTGAAGGCGCTCACAAAATTGTTGGCAGGATTCATGGGGACGGGGCCGGAGGGACTCGGAACGTCAGAGACGGTCAAATTTGGGGATCCCAAATTGGTGGGAGAGACATGCAGCAATTTAGGCGTATTATGTGACTCCAGCATGGAAGAGGCGTTTTGCGGCAATGGCAATATCGGATTTGGTTGCATTCAGGAGGTAGATTATGTGTTGGTGTTCAGCCATTTTGTCAAGTTCGAAGGAGTTCAAAGTTCAACGAAGACATAGACGGGGGCGAGGAAGTCGTCTATGTCTTCGTCATCAGCTTGGCGGGTCAGATCAGCACAACGAGATTGGTGGAGGTCACGGCCGTTTGGAGTACAGATTAAAGCAAAATAAAATCTTGAATGACAAGATTTACGGAAAGAGAAAGCTATGATTGACGCACTGACAAAGCTTTCGTTCACAGTTTCTGCAGCTTTTTGTCCTTGATATTTGCCTTTGTGAGTAATCGAGCGCCACTGTTGTCGAGTTCCGTGCCACTGTCCCGAATCCAACTTGGATCCAACAGCGAATGCTTGATTATGACCACTGAAACACCAGTCAGCATGTGGTGACTTTTGATGAAGAATTCCATCCAACAACCCCGCACTGTTCAAACGATTACCGAGTTTTGCCGCATATAATCTCTCCTCGTCATTCCATTAGGCTTTGAACTGCTTCAAATGAGCTTCTTGCTTGTCTTGCACCAGTATAGTTCGTCTTCCAGTTGAGCCAGCTTTTTTCCACCCAACCTCTGAAAGCAGCAATCTTTTCACGTTTCAAAGCTAAAAGCAGATGAAGCCTACTCACACTTTCTCAGCTTTGTCCCATACTGCCTTTCTTGTTGCCATTCACATGAATGGGTTTGGCTCACATTTCGGTCTTTCATTGAAGTTTTGAGAGTACTGCTGGTTTCCTGCACTTGAGGGTGACAGGACAAACCACAACCAACAAAGAAAAGGCATCACCATGTCCCTCAAGGCGACATTAGCTTCACTAATTGGACAAACACACTATTAACGTTTCAAGCCAGAGAACGCCTTGAAAGATTACCTATTTAAAAAAATAAAAATAAGGTAGAAACAAAGTCCATGCCCAAAAATGAGCGGTGAAGAAAAACTGCCATGACCACCAATCATCAAGACATAACATGTAATACTCTACATGAAGACCTAAGCCATGAAAAAATTTGTCATCCTCTGCATTTCTAACGGAAAATTCGCACATATAATATACAGGGTCTCCTCCAATTCACGCTTATAGCTTGACAATGGTTCATCAAATTATGCACAAAAAGGCCGAAAATAGCTTCAGACTCGATGGATGGTTTCCAATCCGCAATTCTAAAAAGGCATAAAAATTTTACCAGTAGAATTTCCATTTCTATTGGAATTAAAACTGATCCTGTTTACGCCCCATCCGGAAAAAGTACGGCACACGAAGAACCAAACTCGCGGACACCAACTCCTGGCGGGTAGCGCCACAATTTCGAGCCATCCTAAAGAAGAAGAAGAAAAATAAATAAAAATCAACACCATGTCCACTGAAACCATCCCCATGGACACTTAGGGCATCGTATCCAATCGTACTCTTCCACCATCTGATCCAGTCTCGCTTCTCCCGCAGCGCTTCCTCCTCGCTCCCGAAAATGCGTTCGAAAGCCAGACCAGCTTTTCAAGTATCCACGAACACCATCGAGAGTTGTCACGGTATCGCAGGAATAATTTTTCAAGGCTTCTGCTCCTCTGATGAAAAGAAAAACAAATATTACTGTAGTACAAATCCACACATATTTAAAAAATGAATGAATTAACTAGTTCTCGGAAGGAAATACTGCAGTCAGAGAACAATATTGACAGACCTGACATAGACAGAATGTGCAAATGGGAAATGGAAGTCGGCGTACTCATTATCCACCAATTTTCTTTCGGGACGCCAGGAATTGGCCGTTTCCGAGTAAACCTATGCGCATAAGAAGCAATGGCGGAGACATAGGGGAAATAAGGAGGAAGGTTTGATACCTTGAGATACGGTTCCATTAGCAGTTCAGACAACTCTGGCCGGTCCATAAATTCAATTTTTGGCAATGTGTATCCCGCAATCGCAACGGTACCGTTTGTCTTCAACGCACGTTTGGTTTCCCGATAAAAGCCGTTCAAGTCGAACCAATGGCAAGCCTGCACTGCAAGCACCAAGTCACACGACTCATCATCCACCGGAAATTGTCCTGCGTCCACGAGTCTGCATGAATAATCGGCATCAGCTTCGTTTTAACAGTGGAGCTGAGAACAGGAATATCCAACTTGAATGACACATTGCTGCGTTTGTACGCTATCCGGTTCGCAGCTTCAATTTGTGATTTGCTCACGTCGATCCCAATCACCCGGTCGAAGTGGTCTGCCAATGGGAGAGTACTCTGGCCAGGTCCACAGCCAACATCCAGTGCCACCGTCTCAACCTCGTCATTGACTCGCACCTACGCAATCTTCAGTTGTACAGGGGTTCTTATGTGGAATCTTCAAAGGATGGCTCACTCACGCCGTCTCCGACGTAGGTCACAATTCGAGCTATCAATGCTTCTGGTGGTGAGGGGCGATAAAGGGAGTACAGAGCGGCATGGTCTGGACCTTCACACCAACCGCCTTCTCCAACTGTGCCCATGTCGCTCTGGTAATTCCTTTGACAGAACAAATGAAAAAAGAAGAGTAGGAATGCTCAAGCATTATCCAATGCTACGAACCTCTGGTACGCAAAATTACTCAGGGATTGCAAGAACCTCTGCATGTGGGCAATTTTACGCATCAGTACTTGACCCTGAATCATTTGAAAAGCAACTAACTGGCCAAATTACCAACTTCAATCATTACAAAATGCACCAAAAATAATTAGAGCCTCAGCACAATGAGCAAGCTCCATTCATATATGAAATTCTTCAAGAAATGTAGATGAGATCCAAAACAACGGTTTTGCATCGTGAAGGACACAAAAATATTATAATATATTCCAGGTGAATCGATTTTGGCACTATTGAGCTTTACCTATGTCAGCTAAAGGCTTTGTGTGGTGGCGTGCGCGCGGCCATTTTTTACTCCTGGTGCCCTCTATGTTTCATTTGGTTTCCTACAGTTCCCAATCCCTGGCAAAGAGTGACTTCAAAGCGGCGGCCTGTAGCGCTAAAATGTATTCACACAGTGTACACCTAGCATGCGGCGCCGCGTTGTGTGAATGTACACCCATGCAAAAAAAAAGTACAGAATGGACTTGATGCCCAATGGGATTGAGCTACTTAAGGGAATTCATTTTGTTCTTCTGTCTGCGATATGTTGGTTGTGCATAATAATTAACCCTAAGAAGATGTTTTTGAAGTTGGAAGGCTGCATTGATATAGCTTCCAAAATATCAAACATAAAATATCTGATGAGTTCGCAGTATGAGTTTTAGCCAATACAGTGGTACCTCACAGAACAAACTCCTTGTAAAACAAACGTTCTGCAGAACAAAGGTTTTTTTTTTGAGGAAAATCATTTTTTTTCACCCTTGTACTATGAACAAAATTCGTAGTACGAACTTTTCCCCCCCCCCCCCAAAAAATCTGAAAAATTCAAAAATTTGAAATTTTTTAAATATTTCTATCAAGGCTCTAAAAAAATTGGAAAAATCAGAAAAAATCATCCACCATAATTATATTCAATTGTGAAGCTATTTATATTATTTAAGATAGAAAAAATTTAAATTAGCAATCCCAAAAAATTTTTTTTAAAAAATCCAAATGAATACTGTACCACTTTTTGAGGACTATTTTCTCTACCTTCTATTGT